TTTTTTTTTTTGGATTAGGAATCGGAAACTGTGTGCTTTTCATATTTAGTTGAGTGATGCAGTTACCGGAAGTACTGTTCCCTTTATTGCTCTGCTGACAGCTTCCTACACGGACAGTACTGCAAGCCTTCGTATTTCTCGAAATCGAAAGGAGAAGGAGAATAAAGAGTCGGGACCGAATTTAGATGATATAATCTCTTGTTTGCCTGATCCACGAACGCCCCAGAAACCTCTTTCGCCCTTTGAGAAAGGTGTTTTTACCAGAAATCTTTGTTTTGTGCTTTAAGGTGGATATGTAGGTTTTTAGGTATCTGGTTTGTTGTTTTGCTGAACAGTTTTTATTGTTCAAGAATGTTTAAGATGTCACTGAGGAAGAAACAATGTATGAAAGTGTTGCTAGCACAGTAGTGTTTTCTCCAACTAAGCATTTGAGCGGACGGGACACAAAAACTTCTAACTATTCGTATCTCAGCAGTGACGACGAGAGTGTTTCCTCACAGGGTGACAACAACAGCGAAAACTCTTTTATAAAGGTTTTAAATGGTTGTGATTGTTTTAACAATTGTTTCTTTTTATTTTTTTTATTCGTTGTGCATATCTGAACATATCTGAACCGAACTATTATTATTATTATTATTATTTTTTTTTTGAAGGTTCCATTCGCACTTATGCCGACTGGTGATCCTTCAAATGTTGGCGATTTTATTTCATTCCTTCGTCGCTGCGAAATGCAAGAGTTTGGATTTGCTCTTGATAGGACAGATATTTTAATCGATCAGGTAGCTTCTTTTATCTGGCACCGTTTTTTATAGATATAAATGGTTTGTTTTGCCGGTTATTATAAGTTAACTGTCTTAGAAAAAACAAGTGTTCAGTGTTTTGCCTGCACAAAGGTTACTTATTTTTCTGATCAGTTATGTAACTTTTCAGCTGGCTCAGTTTGAAGCTTGTCGGCTCTCCTTTGATCAATTTTTGGCTAGTATAACTGAAAGCGTTGAAATGTGAGTCTAGGAGGACATTCAAAAATTGTGTTTCTGCGTTGGTGTTCCGATAGGAATAACTTTGTAAAAAAATATTCTTGTTTCATTAGATATCAGGTTCTCTGTACTAAAGCTTCTTAGATCTCCTAAAAGTATGCACCTCCAAAGTTTGTTGAACAATCAGCTTCTAAAAATGGGTGTTCTTTTTTGCATTTGAGCCACATCGAGTAATTTGTCTGTAATTACATATTTTGCTTAAGTTTGGTCGTATCCGTCTTAGACGATAGAACTCTTTGCGGTGCTGTAAATTTCTGCTGTTCAAGGGGGTTTTGAACAAATTACTACTTTTGTTTTTCTATTCACAGATTATTTTAGCTCAAGAGGTTGAAAAGAGTAATAGTTCTGTTTCTTTCTTTTACCCTACTGAGGTAGTTTTTTGTATTGTCATTCACTTTTAGCAGCTGGTTAAGTTGGCTGTGGTACTCAGATTTTGAGTTCTTTGAAAAAAAGGTGATTTATCGGTTCCATAACTTAATCATGTGATTGTAGTTTATTTGTAATTATCTGTTTTTTCTTTAAGTGCGTTGCTATTTCTTTCTTCCTTTATTACATTTGGTAGAAGAGGTTCGTCAGAATTATTTTCATCTGGAAATATGTGATCTGCGTGTTTTGTTTTAACGGGTATTTGGTCTGGCTGTAATATTCTTCGGACTTATGATGCTTTTCCGATGAGGCATGCTGTTGTTGAGTCCACTTGTGGATTGAGATTTACTTTCATTTCATGTTTTGTTCGGGAGTTTCCTGGTGTGCAGAATTGATATTACTGCGATTGCTTTATTAGGGACGGACCATTTGTATTTAAATTTTTGGTTCGCTTATGAGGTTGTACATATAATAAAGCCTCTTGAACGTGTTTGGACGTTTTTGACAATTATAACATAGTTTTATTTTGTAGTTTCTACTTTGCTGGGAGTTTTACAGAATTCGCCGGTGAAATGAATGAATAGGGCGGTGTCACTACGTTTCCTTCCTCTCCTAATAAATTCTTTCTTCTTAGTTCCTTCTTTCGTGAGAACGAGAAACGTATTTTGGCGGTTGCTTAAAAGGCTGCAATTTTAAAACTTCAAATGTCTTCCCCATCAGCAGTTGCGAGGTTTCTGTCCAGTAGCCGCCCCTTGGCATTATGCTCTGCTATGAGCACCGCTGCTTCAAAGCCACGGACCAAATACGTGCCTCGGCGAGCACTTTTGTATGTTCCAGGAAGCAGCGAGAAAATGTTAAAGAAAGTTCCTCAAATGAAAGTTAGTGAAATGTGGAAGCATTATTTAAAGTTCCATCTTTTGGGCATGGCCTCGTTGAATTTCTTTACAGGTAGATAGTCTGGTTCTTGAGATGGAAGACGGGGTTGCTGCAAACGCAAAGGCTGAGGCTCGAACAAATATCCGGAAATATTTGGAGTCACTGACTTCTCTTGGACCACACAGTTGCTTTGAGCTTGGTGTTCGAGTGAATTCTGTAGCTAGCCAACTAGTTTTCGATGACGTAAAAGTATGCAGAAGTTTAAATATTTAAAGCTGGAGAATGTGCCAGTGGGTAACTGCTGTTCTTGGTTCTCCTATTCGTGTTTTTTATCTTAAATATAAAAGTTTTAGGAGATTGCAAAGGCCGAAAACTTGCCGCAGGCGTTCATGATTCCTAAGGTCGACTCTATTGAAGACCTAGCTGCTGTTTTTGATGTTTTCAGAACGGCATATGGGGATCGAAGGATATTGAATACAGTTTGCTATTTTGCTCTAGAACTTATTTGTGATTTCTAGAACTTCTTGAATAGGTTCAAAAAGTAGACAGAATCATGCAGTAGCCAGCAGTAATTATGGAAAATGGTTACCTTAATTATTGTTTCTTATCTTTAAAGGACACTCGTATGATTATTTGGATTGAAAGTGCTCGTGCCCTTTTGGACATGCCTAGGATCGTCAATGCGGCTATGAATTTGCACAGATCGGCTGGGTTCTTCAAACTTGATGGGGCGGTTTTTGGCTCTGACGACTTTTGTGCAAATATAGGTTCGTTGTTGATGTTTCTGTTTAAAACAGCAGCTACAAATCGGGGTTCCTGTCCACTTTACGGTTTTTGAGGGTAAAACAAAGTTTTTAGGTACGTCCTGAAGGTTACTGAGGTGATAACAGTTATAAAGGTTTAGGCTAATCTTCTGGAATGTTGTCAGGGAAATATGGTGGAGAATCGAAACAGGTTGCTAGGGGGTTTTGCCGCAAAAAATCTTAATTCAGAATTCAAAAATCTAGTGACAAGTTACTTTTCAATTCTGCATTCTATTTTATTTCAAAATTTTGGGCAGTACGTTAGATTTATTTGAGTTAACGGCAAATTCAAATGAAGCATTGCTGCAAAGGAGTCTAATCTAGTAATTCCAGGTGCAACAAGAACGAAAGAAGCTACTGAAAATTTATATGCTAGACAGAGATTCGTAACTTGCTGTAAAGCATTTGGCATTCAGGCTATAGATGCTGTTTATATAGATATTAAAGATTTAGAAGGACTGCGGAGGCAATGTGAAGAAGGTTGGGATCGCCTTTTTAAAGGCCATTTAGTTTTTGCCTTGTTGCTCCTTACTCAGTGCTATCTGTTATTGTTTTATCGTAAAGTAGTCGTTTTCAAGCTGCTTTATTTTTTAATTTTGTTAATTAGATTTTTTTTAAAAGCAGTATTGGTACTTTTACTGGAAAAAGGTTTACACTCAATACTTAGCCAATGAGTTCCGTGACTGACTGCGCGTCTCTGCTGGATTGGACAACCGACTTCTCTCCTTCTGCTGGTCGTCTTATTGCTATTGTGTAAAAACTGCTCGAGTATTAGGGAGACATTTGACGTAATAGTAAATCTCTCTTTTCTTAACTAAAAGCGCTTGAAGGACTTTTCAGGCCAGTGTATAACGTTTACAGCATTAAATGGCTAGAAAAGTACAATTTTGGAACCAAATCGATCGTTTGAAAATGAGGAATAGTTAGAATTTAAAAAAATAAAACGAAGTAGAAGTGAAGTATAACAGAAAATGTTGTGATAAAAATTATGATAATTAGCCTTTTTATTGAAGAATTAGTGGAGGAGTTTACATCTCTTTTTTGTGCATACGCGTAATACAGTCTGTTAACTCTTTAAATGAGGTTCACCAGTTAATGTGTGTGGTTAAGAGGATCCCTGAAATAGTTGTTAACCGAGTGATTACGCGTGAGATTGTTTCTCACAATAAATGGTAAAGGGAAGGAGAACATTCCGCTTACCTTTTTTCATTTTTAGTCCTGGCAGTAATCTCTTCAAGCAGCCTTCAATTCTAGGAAGTATACTTTTTTAAAAACTATTATACGGTTGCCCAACATCTCTTTTACAGTCGTTGATTAGAAAGGCAAAAAGAGATTTCATTACCGTGTCCAGCGTATCAGTGTTGCAGTGGAACGACCCGAAGAAGGAGGAACGTCGATCTTTCAATCCCACTAGTAGAGCTCACTGGCTCATCGGTTACGGGCTCCTTTCTTTGTTAAAGTACCAAAACTTCATCTGATGTTGGTGACGATAACTTAGTTTAGGGGCCAAATGGGGATTTACTGGCAAACAAGTGATACATCCTACTCAAATTGAGACTGTTCAAAAGGCTTTCCTTCCATCTGAAGAAACAGTTGAATGGGCTCGCTCATTAATGAAAGAATTTGTTGAACACGAGAAATTAGGTAAAGGTGCGTTCACCTTTAGAGGACATATGATTGACAGACCACTGTTGCTTCAGGCCATGAATATTGTTAAGATGCTGGAAAGAGTAAACGGCAGTCAAAAATGAATGTAACTTCACCTAAACTTCTGTTTAATTTAGAACTTGGTTGTTAACAGTAGTTGTTTTGTGCAATGTTAGAATTCAGATATTCTTCAGTTGAAATGTTTTCTGTGCGAATGCTTCATACAAAATAAGATCTAATTACAGCAGGTTAGGAGTGGCAAGTATTCCTCTGTTTTCATTATATATTTCTTTCCTCAGTAAAGATACGAAATTAAAAGTTAAATCGGACATTGACTGTAGTTTTAAGGACTTTTTGGAACAGAGGTGCAGTTTCTACTCTTCGAAGCAACAATTGGTAAAACAGTTTAATCATAATAAAAACTTTTATCTGAACAAAAGAGCATAATGAGTTTATTGCTTTCTACACGGTAAATGTTGCTCTCCTTTTTAACGTCCTGGATGTAGAATTATGAATTTTGCAAAATACTTTTGAAGTGGTACATCGTTGTGTTACTATTTCCGTCGTGTTCGGATTGATGGCAACAAACAAAAGTTGGTTATCCGATTCGTGCAAGTGGTGTAACCAAGACGAGTGATTTGTCATAAACAGGCCAGTCTTTTACACGCTGCTGTACGGCTTGTCAGGGAATACTAATTTGCAGCTTTTGAATCAACGTTTCCTGAGTTACTTGAACAGTCATTTTTGTTTTGGTGCCTTCTTTGCTGCAGACAGTTTGTGTTTGATTAGATGAAAGTGTTCTGAAGTATAAATTCTTATTTTTTCATTTGTGGGTTAGTTGTTAGATAATAAATTGCATTTAATTGTTTCTGGAAATGCTGGATTCTTACAGGTTACGTATGGTTTTTAATTGCCAGGAGTATCTATAAATGCCTTTCATTTTGCTAACTGTCGTTTCTGCATCCGTTTTGTATTTTCCTGTGCTTCCGCTTCCATTATCTCAAGATTTTGACAGGTTTTGGCGATCAGTTGTGGAGACGCAGGGATGTCTAAAGCAGATGCTGGTAGACTCATCCATATTGCTAAGAAACGCGAAAGAGCCAAAGAAGCGATAGAACAGCAACGAAAAAAAATTGAGGAAGAGAAATATAACCGTTTGTTTTAATTTTATTTTATACTTCAAGATGATTTCTTTGCTTGATAAGTAATTTAGATTCTTGGGCCATAAAGAGCTAACAACAGTGCTGGTATGCTTTTTTAGGGAAAGGTATTGGAAAGTTTAGTTTTGATTTTTGTTTTTTAGTTAAAAGCGACATACATACAAAATTCACTGCAAACTATGATGCCGTTGATGAATCGCATAAGGCTAACACAGTTGGACTTGTTACACTCGATGAAATGAGAGAGAAGCAGAAAGATTTGGAGACGAGGTTATTAATAAAGTGATATTATTTCTTTGCTAGAGTTCAAAAGAGCTTTACAAATTTGCAATTAAGAAGCAGTTCATTAAATTTCTTAAAAAGCCATCCAGTTTTCAGATTTAAAAAATTTAGGTATTCCTTCGGAACCGGAGAAAGTAGTTCCGGTACAGCTGTTAAAGAAGAAGAAGGACTAATGGAGGAATTTAAAACAAATCAGGCAAGTGAAAGTTTGGGGGTTTTGATAGAGGCTATAATTTTTACTTTCTTATCCAGTTTTATTTTTTAATATCATCCAAACAAATTCCTTCTTCAAATAGTTCATGATTTAAAATTTGCTTATCACGGTTGATTACTGTTTGTTCAGCAGTTGCAAAAACGTGTACTTTCATTTGAATTTGGCGATGATGAGGATGAAGAACCGGTAGTCCCACAAAAAAAGGTTTTTTTTTCTTTTGTCGTCCCTTTAGTTCTGGATAAGCAATTTGATTCTATCTTGTTTTAGCGGCTAGGTATGGACCCAACAGTTGAAACCTCTTTCCTACCGGATCGTGATCGTGAGAAAGAAGTGGAAAAGTGAGTACTTCGTTTGTAATTCTTAGTTTGAACTAATTTCAAATAATCACTACACGAGAGCATTGGTTGATTTTTACCAGTGTTAATTTTTTGACTAAATCTTGTATTGAAAACCATTTTTTAGAATGAAAGAAGATTTGGCGAAGGAATGGAAGGCACTACAAGAGAAAGAGAAGAATGAGGAGATAAATGTTGCTTATGCGTACTGGGACGGCTCTAGCCATCGCAAAGATTTGAAAATGAAAAAAGGAAACACGATTTCACAATTTCTCGCTCGTGCACTTGAGGTAACGAGTAATAAGCGAAAGAACTAGTAAAATTAATATTGATACGCTAACACGTTTCTAATATTTTCTTGGACATTTCACCTTTGCACAAGGCCTCGTTTACAGATTTTAAAGAGAGAGTTCAGCGAGCTCAGACCAGCGGTTCCAGAAAGCTTGATGTTTGTGAAAGAAGATCTCATCATACCTCACTTCTACACGTACGGTCATTCACTTTGAATGATAGTTTTCCTACGTTTGCTGCGTTACAATAGTTGTATGTGAGATCAGATGCTTTTAACACGTCAGAGACCAATCATGTACTGCGGCGACATCTTCTCCGTGATTTAGATTCCAAGACTTTATTGTTACTCGGGCTATGGGAAAAACTGGTCCGTTATACGAGTTCGATGCAGCAGGAGAAATCAGATTACGTCAAGACGCTGCTATTGACTGCGGGGAATCTCATCCAGCAAAAGTACAGTTTTATTCCTTCTGTACAGTTCTTTTTGAAGACCCTTACTCCTTTTTACCTTGATCCGTTACTAATCCATATGAAGCATTAATATTTTATTCAGGTAGTATTAAGAAGTTGGTACGAGAAGAACAAGCATATATATCCAGCCTCCCGATGGGAGGCCTTCATCCCTAATAAAGAATACCGACGAACTATAGACGACCTCACTACAATATAAGTACAGTTGTACCCTGTACTTAGAAAACTAATTGCCTGAAGGGGGCACCATTTCTTCACTAGTCTCTTGTCAAAAGTTTTGGTCTAACAGTTCTTAAAGTACCAGTAGAAAAGTCTCTCCAGTTAATTATACCTTTTAAGAGGCCTTACAAAAACTTGCAGTGGTTTCCCCGTTTTGATCTCATTATCATCTTCCTTAAAGCTACTTCTGCGACGGAGTAGTTCGTCTCGGGAGGGAAAGTGATGTGAATGAAAGTATGAATAAATCGTTGCCAAAGGATTACGGTGTGGGTGCCCATACAAAATTGCTTAGTTTTCAGAACTTATCACAGACAGCATACCGCATAACGAGACAAGTAAAATCTGCTTTATTTGGACCATGACAGCTAGTGACAACATATTTTAGCATATCCCCATTGCGATTTCATCCTCATAACTAACCGGTCCAATTCCACCAGAAAATAATTTTGATATTACTTGGGTTAGGAATTCCATTCAGACTTTCTAGACTAAACCATGCTCAGAACAACTCGTTTTCAGGGGAAAAAAGTGCGTCTATTACTCTAATAGATCTCAATTACTGGGGACCCTCGTGAACATGCTTGGTCTGGCAAATCATTTTTAGACAACTTAGTCCAATTTTACTGCTTTTAAAAGATCACAACACCAGCTTCTCATACCACTTTTTCGCGCAGAAACGGCGACATAAGCCTTCAAGTGGAAATATGTACAACCTGAGGTGCAGTACAAGAGCATATCGTATAAGCAGCGGCCGAACGACCAGCCTACAAAGCAGTGATACAAGCAGAGCAGGAACAAAGTGGAAATGCTTACCTGAAATTAAACAAAGTTTGAAACATAGAACCCTATTACATTTTAGGAAAACTACTGTGCTGTTGCCTCCCGCTGAGCAGATTTACACAGCCCCTTCTTTGCTTTATACCGTCTAAGCCCACTGACGACTTAAGAGATAATTTTAACATTCAGCTTACTTTGGCTTTGCTTCTGCATCCGTTATTTTACGAACAACTACCATGCTCTCCGGTTCAGGGTTCGGATGCCTTTTAAGTTCTCCCATATATGACGCTGCTATTGCTAACAGTGTTCCCGCAGTATTAAATGAGACGCTCATGATACTAGTTGAAAACCTGTAAAAACTACTTTAGCATCAAGTTTCTATTTGCATTATCAGTTTGAAAATGTACCTAATTTTAATAATCCTTTGATAAAGTTTATTTACCTGCCAGGTTTGAAAGAAGTGTTATTAATCATAGAAGGTAAGAAATTATTCTACTTAAAATTCCATTCGAATGATAGGTTTTCGAAATGAGGAAGCTTACTTGTGCAGTTGACATATTCTTTTTCTATTAAATGGATCCCACATATTAACTAGAGCATCTGAGCCTGAAAAGAGTACAAAACGAGGTATTCTCAACTATATGTTCCTCCTGTCAATGAATTTACAGAAGGCTTAAGAAGCCAAATCACAATGGCTAAAACTAATCCAGCGAGGATAGAAATTATAACTTTCTTCTAACCTCCCGTCACGAAAGTATTGTGGATCGGATGAAAAGCAATGCAGTTAACAGGGTAAATCAGCTCGATTCCAGATTCTTCTTTTTCTCGATGGCATTTGAATGCGTATTTGTTTTTTTGGATTTCTGGTGACTGGTCGAAATACTCAACTGCGACACGTCCCTCTATTGACGACACCACAAAAGCATCACCGCGAGGGAAACATTTTACGGCTCGAGTTTGATACTATAATGGAACAATCGTAGACTAATGGGCAAATAGACAGTGGAGGACCACATTAATCTTGGAATCTATAATGGTTACCAACACCGGCAGTACTTACCTTCAGCGGGCTATCTCGCACTTGCTCAGGTTCCCCTAAATTCCGTACGTCCCAGATAATGACTTTACGGTCTTTTGTACCCACAATTACTCTATTTCCCAGTGTATCCATTGCATAGACTTTGTCGCCATTGTTTCCAAAACCGGCAGAGGTGTTCGTCCTTGTATCCCACAACTTAAAAGCGACATAAAGACGCATTTCCCGAACTCACTTGGAACGTTGGAATTAAAACCATCCGAAATTAAATTTTAAAAAGATTCCCCTGCATGACAAAGGAAACCCGAGACTATATTGCAAATCATAGGCGAAATAGCACTATTTTCTAAACTACAAGTGCAAAAGAAAAAACCAAAGCAGTTTTAGTCAAGCAACTATTGAAGTTAACGAACAAAGTGGAAAACAAACCTTCATCGTAGAATCCCATCCACCTGAAGCTATTAAAGCGTGATCCTTACAATACTCTAAACATCTCACAGCCTCTTCATGTCTACCGATAACACTTTCCGCACACGTTTCAATGTTATACGTCTTTACAACACATTCTAACCCACCCATAGCAACCTCCTTCTTATTCTAAAAATGCAAACCAGTAGGTGTAAATTCAAAAATTTTAAGGTGTAGTTAGAGTAAATTAATGTTAAGAGAACAATGACTACCACAGAATTTTCTGTAATAATTTAGTCATACAACTTCCACAATTAACTTCTGCCTCTTTCATCGCACTAATTAAACGAATGTCCTCCTCGTTAGGAAATGACAGTTGGGCATTACCAATATCGGTCACGTTGGCTGCCGTATATAATTCCAATGTTTTTTTCCAAATAAAACAGCTTACTATTTAAAACTGAGTTTAAAAAAATGAACCAAAACTTACATAAAATGACAGAGCCAAAAGTGGTTTACTATTCATCGCAACCCGTTGTTCAACAGCAATTATCGGGTTTGTCGGAAAATGATAAACACGGAGAGATCCATCCCAACCCGAAACAGCTAAGAGATCCTTCCCCTGCTCTTGGCAGTACTAAAGTATGCAGAGTTAAAAGCTATAGTATTTCATGCTTGGATAACAACTTGTCACTCAGTCAGTTTATTTCAGTGTTAAAAAAACTGTGAGGCTGAATCTCTGAACCATTTTTAGAACACTGCTCAAATCTTCAGCAACGCTATTTGACAATATAAACGGTCTGATACAAGCCTTAAAAAAGGAACTCAATCAAGTTTTTTTGTTCTAATAACGTTAAATAGTTCAAAAAATGCAAGAAGATAAAATTTCTGCTAATCCACTTTGTATTTCAGAAATCACAGAAAGCGGTGGAGAGATGATATTATCGTCTATGCATTACAAGTAGTTTTCCTGACGGAAAAAGATTAATTGATAAGCTGTTAAATTTTTAACTGCAGAAAATGATTAAATGTTCAAATTTTGTCTTTAAAAGAAATTACTTACTTCAACTTTTGAGATCTGAGTGCTTGGAATGTGAGGAACTGTACCTTCAGTAGTCCCACCAGCAAAATGGAACATTTTTGCAGTCGGCTGTTGGCAACAAATTAAACCTATCTTCCACCAAAGTAATGTTGTTGATAAAGCTGCAATTTTAATGCATAATTAAGAAGGAGTGGACGAACAGATTACCATCGCTACGAGCAATATTGTCGATAACACAGAAAGTAAGCTAGATGCCAAAGGTGGCTGAAAGAAAAAAGAAGTAACTGAGAAGATGGGACTATTGCAAAGACGATATGAAACTATCAACGAATAAAGGGTAAATGGGGAGTAAGACTAATGTATCAATCACTTTCTTCCAAAAACATCCTGAACAACGTAACAGCGAAGAAGCTGGTAAATCCATGCATAAAAGATGAACTGCCCAGAGACGGATTTTCAATCACGGAAATTTAGCGCTTTCCGTTCTCTTCCTCAAATTCACTATCGCAAAAATTGCAGCTCTATATTAATAGTGCACTTTCTGCATCGACAACCAATACGATAGGCCTAAGTATAATGGATGTTTACAGTGAGCTGTTGGCTTCTGATGTTCATACGTCTGTCTATCTTGGGATAAAGAAAGGGCGCTATCAGGTAATGTCTGCTGAATTCCAGTGAAGAAATATGGGAGATCGAGGGAAGTTCGCTCAGAAGTTTTGAGTAATTAATATTTGCGGAAAAAAAAAGATGGTTCATTATTCCTTCAATTAAGCTGTCTATGGAACTTCTAAGAACCCTTTTTTTTTTAGACGGCATGTTTGAGAACGATGTGTTTACTTGAAATTAAGTTGTTGATATTTTGTAAAGTGTTAGTTGGTTTTATGAAGACCAATCATATCAGAGGGCTTATCAATCAAAAAAACAGCTTACTTAGTACGCTTTGAATAACTATCATCTGTGAGCTTTCGTTTTTACTTTAGGATTGTCCTTTTCAGTTTAGCAAGTCATAAAAAAGTATTTTTTTTTTTTGAATCAGTTGTTCAGTGTTCAGAAAAGCATGACTTCAGTCGTTTATTTACATCAGTTTTAAGGATTTCACAAAATGCTGTTATACAACCAAACTGTTGTATTTGAACACACACACACAAAAAAAAAAAATTATATTGCACTGTCGAGTGAATTTGAACTCAGGTAAATGCTGAATAACTTGACCATTGAATTTACATATATAAACTGACTGTTGTAAATTGATAGTAATCATATATCATTTTTATCATAGGTCATTAAATGTGGTCACCGTCAACAGATGGACAAAACAGGCCGACTTATTGCGCCAGTTAAGGCGTATTTTTGCAAGCGTCTAAGTGACAAACAGTTTAGTGGCAGTCGTCTTCAAATTGCTAATTAGCATTATTACATTCTGGGGTTATGATCGATAATTCATGTGCATTATCCGACCGGTTTTTCCTCACGCGCATAATACGGCCTAGAAGTTATAACCAAAATTTTACATTACGTCACCGCTTAAAATAGCTGTTTTCGTAGACGGAATGATATTGACAATTTGTGATATCATTCATATCAGGCAGCAGTAACTGAAGAGGTTGATGTCGTTTGTTTTTCGCATATAAAGGCATTATGGTTGCGAAAACAACAGTTTTGTTCCCATATTCCATTCGAAGTGTTCATTTTAACGCATCTGGAACCTTTCCGGAACTGTGGCCTTTTTTCTAAAAAACCAACGCTCTTTTGTAATGCTGTATTCGAAAAAAGTTGTGGTTGTATACCGTTAAACAAATATTTGGTTCTTCAGTAAGTTTTGCGGTATCTGATTACGAACGTATCGCTATCGAAAAAACATTAGGAATACCATTTACAAATCATTTTAAATACGCAAGAAACTATTCCTTACTTTTTCCCCAATTAGAATAATCAAATGGGCTTCTATCATTATTCTCATAATCATCTTGGTGAAACCATGCTGATCCGATCCATAGAATTTGGAAACCCTTAGATGCCGCGTAATCTAAAAATTAATTGTTAAAACACGAACAATAGCAAAGTTTCTCTCGTACGCAGCATCTCCAAACAAAAATTGTATTAATGAGATTGAAGATAAAGGGAAAGCAAAAGAAGACAACTATGATATAACTGAATTTTTGTTCCCTCTGAAGGAAGTTCAAAAAATTTTGAACTAACCTGCATAAAACTTGTTTTCTTTATCGCTATGAATGCTGCATAAATGTGCATTGTTATGCAGGCAAAACAGTTCAGCCTCGTTCCATGTATACGACTTGTCAAACAATTTGAAACACTTCTGCGAATGTGTTGAAAGTTTCCAACCTTTTTCACAACTAACTGTTGGCTTTGATCTTATACTGGAGGTATGAGATGCAACCGTGTTCTTTGATATTTCGCTTGTGGTGCTAACAGACGGTCGTTTTTTACAAACAAACGGTGATACGTCTGTGTCGCATTCATCCAGAAATTGTTGAACTCTTTCATCCTTGCCCAGCTTTTGGCACTTTACAGCATTATCGTACGACGTATCTGACGAAAAACCAGTTACGAAGGGGTGAAGAAAAACGAAATAAACGTTATCTAACACAAGCTTCTTCCATCTCGTTCCAAATTTTTCAAGCATTAGCAATGAAAACAAAATTTTGATGCCATCATATCCAGAAGGAAAAAAGGAAAACAAGCAGAACAGGAGACCCTTAATATTTCTATCAAAGGTTAACATACTGATTTCATCTAACTGAGCTGTTCTTTGACGCTTTGGTCTGATGAATCCAAATTTGCGCTTCTCAAGCCATAATCGGCTAAAGGTAGACATAAGTGGAGTCTCTGAAAAGTGACATTAAGAATATAAAGAGGACAGTTTTGTAGTAATCCGTGATTTCATATAAGAGCAAAGTAATACCAGAAATCCATTCAAGTTCTTCATCAGTTGTTTCGTTGACCAAACGAGCAGATTTCTTCTGACAGAAACTGTTTGCATGTTCCCAAGTTTTTGGTTTTTTCACGAAATAGTAACAATAGTTTGTTTGTTCAAAATATGTCCAACCAAATTCACATTTTTCTGCAGTTGTTTTGGCTGGTTTAAACCATTTTCTGTTAGGAAGATTTCCCACATCTGCAGCTTTTTCACAAATATACGGCAAAGAACTGAGGAAACAGGAAGCTGGATACCATTCACCACTTTCTATATTCATTTTTAAGCATCTAGCCGTCTGATTATATGCCGGTTCAAGGCCTGAAAATGTTGCTGTTGCTGGTAGGTGATAATACTTTTTTCGCTTAAAATTTTCGTCTATATAACAAATGTAAAACCTTTGGGCCATTTAGCGTAAACAAATTTTGAGTTATCTGTATTAATATAGTTTGTTGTTTTAAACAGTGCACTTCCAAGCCATGCTTCCTTC